TGGATACCTTCAACGGTATATCATAGAAGAAAAAATGTGATCCATCACCAGGCATGACCTTGGATAGAGTTTCTCACCTGTTGTGCTTGTGAAAGGAAAGTCTTAAGCTTCGACATTACGATCTCTCGCACTCCTGGTTGCTGGCCCAAGACATCCTCGAAAAGACTTGCCTGGTGGTCCGCGACGCCAAGCAGACGCAGATCCCTCCCAAGCCGGTGACCTACGTCCTGCCGGACGACAAGTGCATGAGCGGATATGTTGCGGAGACTGAGAATGAAGATGCTTGACATGGTGGGATTTGATTCTGGGAGAAGGCTCCTCATCTTGGGTGTGTCCACTTTCTACCTTTTCTTCCTGACCAAAAGGACAACTTAACCTTCAAATGATGGATGAAATCAACGAAGAATATTAAGCAACCATCAGCTGGTGGATAAAATCACCACTCAACAATGAATCAACCATTGCATGTGGGATAAAATGGATAAAATATAATCAACAACTAAATCAACTATCAAATTCCGGTGCTAAATCAATATATCAGGTGTTCTTTTCCATGAGTTTTGGGATGCTTTTTGTGAAAACTTCCAGCTTCGGTGCCTAGGAGTCTACCGAGACCGGCTCAAAGCAGAGCGTGACACTGAGCCTGGAACGACTGATCCCAGAGGCCTTGTTCCGACCGCAGGACTTTGGCATTCCATCGGCTGGGGTGGCTGGGCTGACATGGTGGACTCTGCAGTGGAAGGAGAAATGGCTGGAAAATCAGGATGTTGTTTTTGTTTCACCGTCCCTGTTGGAGTGGCCAAATGATACCTATACTTTGCTGCGGTTTTCCCTAGCCCCCCCTTCAACAAAAGATCCAGTTTGCTTCAAAATTCTACAGTCCACATATTCCCCATCCCAAGCTCCTCGAAAATCCCATCCCCTCATCCTTCCGAGGTCTCTGAATTGGTGGTCCAGGCTATCACGGCCGTGTGCGAAGTCACCTGGCGTCCCTTCCTCAGTCGCCTTGTCCTGTGCGGGGCCCTGGCGAGGCTGCCCGGGCTGCGCCAGCGGCTGCAAAGGGAGCTACGTGCCGAGTTGCCGAGCGAATGGCCTGTGGAGTTGCTGATGGAGGAGGAACCGGAGTGGTCCGTGTGGCAAGGTGAGGGGTTGGGATGGGATGGGGAAGGTGGGGATGGAGTTTTTCGAAATTTGTTGGATGTTTTCGTGTGTTTGGAGGTTTGGAAAGGATGAGCTCTGACATGTTTGAGGGCCAGATTTGCATGACCCGACAAAAAAAGGGATTGGTATGTAGAAAACTTAACTTAGGGGCCGACCAACATGTTTCATCATTCCAAGATTCCAAACTGAACAATGATCAGCTTGGAAAAGCAACTGACTCTTTAATTTAAGATATTGAGGAAGATTTATGGGGCATCCTAGATGCCCATTGGACATGGGCAGATGGGGTCATGAATGGCATGCCAGGTGCAGTGCAACATGCCCTGCATGCAGAGGGTCTGTGGGGTCGCGTGAATCCAGCAGATCAGATGGACGACGAAGAGGTGGAGGAGGAGGAGGAGGAGGAGGAGGAGGCTGGGATCGGAAGGGGTTGGGGCAACCAATGTTTGGGGAGAGAATCAATTGGCAGATGTGCCTGTAAAAAATGGGGTACCGGGTAAAAGATAGTAAAAGAACTGTGACTTGAGACAATCCAATATTTCCCGAACGGTTAACCTTCGAGAACAAGGTGATGTTGTTGAGGATGCAGCCGTAATTCCATAAGCATAGACCTTTGTGTGATCAAGGTCATTCCCATGGCGGTTTTGGGTCGAAATATGTCTTCGTCTCTAACCAGTCAGTTCCGTATTGGTACCCTTCACCAAGCATCATTGTGGAAAAGCCACAGCCACCAAGATTTCAACAAAATTTCTCAAAAAAACCTCTAGGGTTTTCAAGGCTTTCAGCTGGAAAGGGTCCAGAAAAGTGAAGGACCAGCCGTCGGTCCCTTCCCCGGCGGCACCTGTGGCTCCATCAGCACCGGTGATGCCACTGATGCGAGCGAGGGGCAAGCGACCTGCAGCAGAGCTGGCAGTCAAGCCAGGTACCAGCTGGGGATGGATTGACATACCCCAACATTTGTGGGCTCGGGCCCCCCAACTTTCCAGTTGCGATTTTTCTTCAGATTGGGCTTGTCCATCTTTTTTTCAGATGATAGTTGTTGATTGTTGCAAGACTCACACTGCCGATGACCTTTTCGACTCTTTTGCAGTGCCACTCTTGAAAACTCACGGAACATGGGGTCTCCAAAGACGGTGGTCCCGATGCAGCATTTTGTCTCTTAAGATTTTCAGCTCAGTTTCCCATGGGTGTCCATTTTTCTTCTTTCCATCTTACCCAAAGATTTCCAGGTTTTTCCACCCCAGGAGCCCCACCGCTGGCTGACCCCGCGCCCCTGGCCGACGCAGCCATCGCTCCTCGGTCGCTGCTGAAGCGGCGGCCCTCCGCTGCGAGTGACGGCCCTCTGGAGCCGACAACGGGCGCGGCGAAGAAAAAAAAGTGGCCTGGAAAGGCCTTTGGGATGGAAAAGGGGAGGAGTTTGTAGTGGTTCTTTTCGACGATTTTCATCGATTTTCAACTTTTTTTTCTGCTTTTGTTGATGTTTATCGTTTCTTTTTGATTGCACACCACTTGAAATTGTCTTGAAACGGTGATGAAATGATCGCGAAGTCCCAGAAAAGCCATGTCAAAAGGGCCAAGGCGCAGAAATGACAGAATCTTGACTGACAACGATCACCAACAAATCATTAGTTATTAGTGATTAGTGGATATATTTTTGGACCTCAAACAGTCAAGCCGTGGCTCTGATCCTGGAGCCTGACCTGGAATCCCTTGCACGACAGCCTCTGTGGAGACTTTTCGCAGAAAGATTCCAATTTTCCAACAGTACCGCTTGCCATAGAACTTGTGGATCTTGTGGCATTTTTGCTCTCAAAACATCAATTTTTCTTCATGCGCCCGTGCGCTAAGGCCCCGAACCGCACCACCCAGGCACGAAACACTCTGAGACTGCCATCAACTTGGTGCAGAACAAATATCTCAAGAAACTACAAGGTTTTTCATGGTTTTCAGAGGATCATAACCACCGAAAAGGGTAGAACAGCAAATTACTTCAACGGTTTTTCTTTTCTATCAAAAGTAACTTAAGATAGTTTGAGGTACAAGTTATAGTTTTGAGCTTCTTGAGCTTTCAGTTTGTCTTCCTTCTTTGCTGAATCCTGTATCACTATTCTAGTAGGATGATGCCAGGCCTGCGGCTTTCCGATCGCGCGGCGGACCGCCTTACTTTGGGCAGGAGAGACTTGGGCAGGGAATGTCCAAAGAGGGCAAGTCATGGTTTTGGTTATGGCTATAGAAGGCCTAAGGCGTTATCATCAAGGCGTTATCATCAAGGCGTTATCATCAAGGCGTTATCATCAAGGCGTTATCATCACCATCACCATCACCATCACCATCATCATCATCACCATCATCATCATCATCACCACGATCTTTCTTCTTCTCCTCATGGTTCTTGTTCTTATCCTTATTCTTCTGCGTCAGTGTAGATACTCAGAATTCAATACCATAACGTGGGATTCACCCAATGCCATCTGCACCATCCCCAGAATCACCATTTTTCCGGGTGGGATTCCAACCATCCCCAGTCATGGTAGGTTCATGGCAGCCATCTCGCTGACCTCAGTCAGGAACAAGCCTGTGTGTGCACCATGGAGGCCTGGCTGATGTTTTGTAGTGATGCTAGTGGGCCTCATGCCAAACCCGGGTGTGAAACGAACAGCCGGGAAAGACATTGTGAAGATGTAAGACTCACCAATCTCTTGGCTACTTCGCATTGTTTTCTTTTTCGAATTTCCATTGTTTAAGTGGTCCAGTCTTCTCAGCAGCAGAAATCCTAAAGTCACCCTCGTCCAACCTTCAAGGCCGACTCGCGCCCGGCGAGTGAATGGGGTGCGACGTCTCAGTCGTCGGTCAGATGGGAGGGCCCAACGTAGAAGGTTTGACGGGAGCACCGGAGCACAATGATTGGGGAGCCATTTACCCTCTAGTAAACTAAGATAACTATGCAAAACCACCATTTTTGATAGGTAAATCAACTATAAATGGCTATTTTCAATAGCTTTTTGTATGTTTACCCCCAAACGTTTTCCTATCCGCCTCAGGCTTCGAGCGGCTTCATGGCCCGATGGCTTCCGTCACGGCGCGGCGGCCGCCGAGTCAATGTGGTCCGGTGCCCCAAAGGTGGAAAAACATGGGTGATTTTACAGGATTTCAGCAACAGCGACCATGGTTTTTGTTGGATTTTGTAGGGGATCTCCGAAGTCATAGGGGATCCCCAAAAGCATTAGGTTACTCACATGGATTTGGATGATTTGGATAATTTGGGGTACCCGGGGTACCCGGGGTACACATCATTTTAGGAAACCACCATTAGTAATGGGAATATCATGGGGAATAGATTGGAATAATGGGGATGATAACCATTGCAACCCCAAAATGTGGAACATGTGGTTCATAAACCCCATTAGCTATAGATATCTCTAATGAAGCCTACTTAGACCCTCCAAGTACCCATGAAAATGGGTAAAAGTCCCCAAAAATGGGTGTTTTACTGCAGGTTTCTAGGTACTTTGAGGGGGGCAGAATGTGCTGTGTGCGTCTTGGGGCACTTGCACCTTCAAAACATGTTTCTTCTTCTTTGAGGGGTGCAGGACCCCTCCCCATAGATAGAAGAAGTGGAGCCTGGAGATTATGGGGAAGCCCATTGATTTGATACCCTCATCTTCATGTAGGTATCCCGATGATATCCCCGTTACATCCCTATTGCATCCCCATTATATCCCCATAAACTGGTTGGCTTTACACACCCGCGTTCGATGGATTTTATGTATATATGGGCTTGCAATGGGACAAGGACAAAGATGTCGCCCGGTCGTTGTCACTTTGGGCTCACAGCCGCCTGTGAACTGCACGGCAGCAATCTCCCCTCGTCAATCACAACAAGACGTCTGCCTCGTGCGGACGCCGTGACCCGTGGGACCAAACATAATGCAGCTGTCATCCGCCCCTGAGCTGCAAGGGCGCAGGGCGAGGGCAGGGCGAGGGGGCTGTGGATGGCTGTGGATGGCTGTGGATGGCTGTGGATGGCTGTGGATGTGGATCAAGATTGAAGACAAAACCTGCCGATTTCGAACAGTTTTTTTTTTAAACATAGCCAGCTTTCGAGGTTCAGATGATGTGCCGTGCGCTTCTACTGATTGCCGCGGGTCTCAGCACCAGCCTAGCGGCAAAGTTGGCTGCGGCGCCCAACATCCAGCAGGAGCGCGGTCGTTGGTTGCTGGCCAGTGCCTCGCAGTGTACCCTCTGGTAATTTAACACAGCTATTGAAAATATACCATTTATAGTTGATTTACCTATTCAAAATTGTGATTTTCTATAGTTATGTTAGTTTACCAGAGGGTAAGTACTTCACGTAATTTGTATACATATTCAACCAGAACTGAGGATAGCAACCAACATCCAGTTAAGAATTATTGGGGGGTCCACAGAAAAAAATGGCGCCATGTCTATGGGTTAAGAAGATCAGCCACATTTGACAAACATTTTGGGGCTGGCTGGCTCAATATAGCAGAAAGGTACTTGATAACATCTAAGGCATCCTTCTTGATTTGCACAGAAAGGGTCGTTTTTCACCGCTTAAGAGACTTTCAAACTGTTCAATCCTTCTTCAAATTTCCTTCCAGAACCTCAAAAACAAACCTTGAAAAACCAATCTTCAACACCTTAAGAAAAAAAACATGCTTGGGATATGCAACCCAGCAAGTGATATATGTATATACATATATATATATATGTATATACATATATATATGTATATACATATATATATATATATGTATGTATGTATATATATATATTATATACACACATTATGTATATAGCCCGGGATGTTCCAGGGCTGTTTGAGTGCATCCTGCGCCGTTCGTGAAAGGATGGCATTGTGAACCTCCTGGCATCGTCTCAGTCGGCGCCGGGCACGCCCGCCTCCAAGAACAAGGCGTCAGAGATGGAGCAGATGGTGCGGATGTCCCAGCGTCGGATGGGAAATTTGGTGCAGGTGTGGTCCAGGATGGACCTGGAGAATTGGGAAAATTCACCAGTGAATTAGTTGTAGATTTGTTCTCACCAGTGTTCTATTGATTGACATGGCACATATATTTCTAAATATATACACATGTATATATGCAATGTAAATGCCGGACGTGATTTGGTCACTCTTTGTGATGGGTAGGAACATGGGTCAATTATTTGCAGTCTTGAAGGGAAAAAGACTAGCCCAGCAATCATTGTACCTTCTGCGGGGTATTTGGATCAGCAGCGAGATGGGAATGAGGTTTGAATGCCTTTTAATGTGTATATATATATATTATACACTTTCTACATAGATAACAATTACATTATATATATATACATATTTATGCATATGCATATATATATATATGGTTTTGCAGAATTAAAAGTCGCAGACAGTTCCAACACTGCCCATTCCACCTTTTTCTTGTGGTCCTTTCATCCGCCGGTGCTCATCCATCCATCCATACATCCATCCATCCATCCATCCATCCATGAAACCTGATCCTCAGGTGTTGCTCTTGGCGCAACAAGCCAAAGTGGCCAGAAAGAGTTCGCAGAAGGCGGCAGAGTTCGCGAAGGGGGAAGCTGGTTGGAATCCCATGGTTGATGCTCTGGCTATGGAAAGTCATCATGTTTGATAGGTAACTCATCGAACTCAAGGGGTTATTTTCCAGGCTTTAAACTACCAGAGAGTATCATCAGTAGCCCCATTGAACTTGCTGTAATTTGTTCCGTGTAAATTCCATGTTTTTGAGACGAAACAAAAGGAGTGTTGACGATTTCCAGGACGATTCTCCGCTTCTTTCTGGATTTGGTGACCAGATAAGAAATAGTAAGAAACCCTGAGTCCAGATGATCACCATTTCTCGACTGGAACATGTTCTGTTGATATTTCCCCTAGATCTTCAGGGGTTGGTACATGTCCCATTCTTTTTCGGATTTTGAGCATCACCTTGAAACGCTTGTGGCCAGATGTTCCGCTTCAAAAATGGTGACGAAAATCTGCCTGGTGAAATCACAATGTTTGCTGGTGAAATCCCAATGTTTCTGAAACATTTTTCTTACATTTCACATCCCCGTAATTTTCATCCAAGATCTTTCATCCGCCTAGAATCCTAGAATCGAAACCAGGCCGATGGAAACCTCGATGAGTTCGTTGAGATGATCAAGAAGGAGAAGGGCTCTGCTATGGCTCCGTTGTGAGTTTCCTGCGACGAATCAGACTGGGTCGAAATTCCCAAGAGTGCAGTACGTATTGCCACATCTCCAACTCATCAGTAAATGATAGCTGTTTTTTTGGGGGGATACTAATGATTTCACGGATCTATCGAGTTTACCCCTGGTTAATAGCGACAGCCATGACCAAGCCCTTCAGATGGGAAGTGGATTGGGGAAAGCATCCCTGGCTGCCGTAAAAAATCGATATAGTTCAGGACATATTGTGATTATCCTAGAATGATTCGGTTTGTAGCTGCAGGCAAGAATCCCTGTCTTTACTTGCTGATATTCTGAGATTGCCTTGTTGTTGCCAAATACCGTGTGTCTCCGTCTCCCAAGTTTCCCAGAATTCTCTGAGAAAATTTACACGACATGTCAAAATGGGATGGCCGAAGTACCAAAAATCAGCTTGTCGTCCGGAAAGGTGCACCTTTCTGGATCTCCACACCCGGGTCGAAAAAAAGAGGGGGCTGCCCCAAGTCTGCCGACAGTGGGGTTCCCCACTGTCCTTCCCATCCCTAGGAGCTCTTAAAGATGGAATCCAAGATCAAGGACGCGGTCGCCATCGTGGACTCAGGTTGTAAGGACGGAGGGGGCGGAGGCATTGGACCATAGGGGGATAGAGTAAGCCCCCAAAAACACGGGAAGTAAAGATTAAATGGAAAGTAAATCATCACTATTCTAGTAGGATTTTTCTTTTCAGCCTCTTTTTGGGTGTTGCTATGTATAGCTATGTAGCTAACTGGTGCCATTGACATGTGGCGGATGAAACAAGGCATGTTTTTGTTTGTTTAAATGGGATATTTAATTCAGGGACTAATGCGGATACAACCATTAGAAGGTGCAAAGTGGTGTGTCATAGCTGGCGAAATTCGTTGACCGGATTTGGGTTTCAAAGGTGGAGATGTTTTTGGTGACGGGGGGCACCAATTTTTGCACTGCTTGGGAGGACACCTTCGGCAACTTGTCGGCGGGCTGCCCGGCCTATTTCAGCAACACCACCTTCCTGCCTGCAGGCGCCGGCCAGCGGCGTTGTGACCGTTTGGGATCAGGTTTTCCCCACTTTTTGGACACTTGGAACATTCCTGGACCGCCAGTTCCAGCCATAAGTAGCCAAGATAAATAGTTCTTTGTCCTATGATAGGGCTCAGAATCCCTACATATGTAACAAATGGTTGGAACTAGGGTAACCGCCATTCATCTCTGATTGTTGGGGGTTCCCATGTCAGAATTTGGCGGTTGGATTGGAACCTGCGGGAAGACCATTAATGGCACCGCACATTTCAATGCCGCTGCTATTCATATGAGCATGGCTCAAAATTTAGGATCCAAGGGACCACGGAATTTCGTCGATTTGCAGTACTAACGATCCATTTTGTTTTGGGTAGCCCTGTTTTGATCCAGACATCCGAAGCTTCGTCGCCGGAGGCTTTGATGGAGATTTCACCCCTCTCAGGGAGGTGCGACGGTCAGTCCATGGGGTATCCCTGGCTGGGATGATAAGTACCGACAAAGTATGCTTCAAAGTGGCGCCCCATAGTTACAAGCTTTTTTTCGGCTACTTTGTAGGTGGCTGAACTGTGGCTCTAAAGGTGATTATATCAAATTCGATCAGTGCAACTAAAGCAACCTACGGAGAGCACCACTTCGCAATGCTTGGGAGATATGACATGTGCCAGGCGCATTCCAGGTGCCAGGCGCATTCCAGGTGCCGCTCCCAGATTAGCTCTCGCAAGCAGGCGCCGAATCCAACAGACAGGTCACCACAAAAGGATCCACGCAAGACTCTTTTAAAGGGCAATCCTACAAAGATGGTTGATGAGTCATCAACAAATATGGCTATGGGGCAGCATCAAACAACCCCAAAACTGGCTTGCTATTCATATTCTCACCATAGACAATTCCAGAAAGATGTTTGGGATGTACTTGTAAACACCGCAGTGACCAGAGTAAAAAGAACCATTGCCATGTGGGCATGGCTCAACACTTTTTTCCACCCCAGAAATGACATAAATGATTTATACATGGTCAACTTCAATTGGATTTATAAATGGTTTCCATGGCTCAACTGGTCAACTTCCGCAGGTCCATGGTAGTTCACAGGTACCAACCCTTTGGAGCCAGCCCAACGGGTGTTTCCTGGGTGAATCTCGGGATATCCATCTGAGCCCATTCATCATCTCGGTTCATCAAAATCATCTATGAAATGCGATATATATATAGATTTCAAATGATACCAAGACCTATCCATGAAATATGCCTTTGATGAGTTTGATACACTCCAATTTCCCTACTTTTTTTTCTTAAAAAACCACGTTTTGCCATCGATTTTTCTTGGAATCGGTTGCGCCGAGATTCGGGCAATCCACGTGGCCAGGAGATGGACAGCTGCAAGTCAAGCCGAGAGAGTTTGATCCTGCAGGAACACACCTTGACGGCTCAGTTCAGGAGTACTTTGGCCCGGAAAAAAGATGGGGAAATTCACATGAAATTATGGTGACCTTGACCTTTGGGATGAGCCAATAACAATGGGGGGATTTCATGACTGTAGACTAGTATAGGCTTTTGACCCTGGGAACCAAAGGTGTTGGCTGCAAAAAGATACTCAATTGTGACCAATGCCCCTACAACCAAGTAAGAGCGGCTCTACTCAGTGGCTCTTTTTCAAACCATTGTGATTTAGAAGATTTTCTTGCAAGGCATGGTGAAATTGGGCGGAGAGATTGGAGATGTTCCAAATCGGCCCATTGAAAAGCGGGCCATTGGCTCATGGTTGGGAAGCGCAAGGCCCATCTCCAGCGGACCGAGGCATCAACGTGTTTGAGAGTCCGGAGGAGTGCGCGGTGACAGGCACTGATGTGCTCGGTCTCGTGGCACCATCTGTGGTGGGTGGGACTGGGGACTGTTGGATGATGGAGTGAACCACGATGACGATGGCGATGACGATGATGACGATGATGACGATGATGACGATGATGGTGATGGTGATGGTGATGGTGATGATGATGACGACGATGACGATGACGATTATCACTATAGTTATAGATTTATTGGTGTTATCACTAGCAGTATTGTTACAACATATTAGATGATTGATATGAAAACAGCAGTCGTGATGACTATGACTGGCCTGCACCCTGAGGTTACTTGGCCGCCATGCGAGACCACTTCGATGGCAAAAAGGCACCAGGGAGATTGTTTTTTTGGCATATCCCATTGTAGTATTACAATAGCAACACCCGAAACTATAGGACAGTCAATTTTCTGTACCCGATTTTCAAACAAAGCCGTACTGTCGCATATTACCACGTGTCCAAACTAGGCCGTAATTAAAAAAATCCAATAGATCTTCCAAGTCGTGGATGTCTGTCCATCAGACTACTTGGTGGAGCACCTATTACAAGCTGGAGAACGTCACTCAGAATATCACCAAGTGGAACTGCACTGAGAAGGCGTCCGGACCATTGTCCATGGGCAGCCAAACCCCAGTTGTGCCATGCTGGGAAGAACATATGGAAAAATGGGGATAGAATGGGGGTAGCATGATAATCTGATAGAATTGGGAATCTTATGAGATTGGGGATATGGAACCAACAATATCTGCGATGGTTAAATTACAAGATCTATATTATATTTTCCCAAGAAAGAGAATGGTGCTCCCCGATTAGGCTTGAAATGCTCGTGATGATTGCAATCCCAAGGGATAGTGTGATGAACATAGCCATGACATACCCTGCTTTGACCATGGCGCACATGGGAAACGAGATTTTACGAAACCTTACCCTCTGGTAATTTAACATAGCTATTGAAAATGGCCATTTATAGTGGATTTTCCCATTGAAAATGGTGATTTTCCATTGCTATGTTAGTTTACCAGAGGGTATTGGATATAGTCGATATAGTCTAGTTTTTTTCCCCCAGCAATTTTGAGGAGCCTGGTTTCCAAAATTGGCTACCAAGTCTGAGGTGTCGACACCGAAAAAACAAGGGTGACCAACAGAATCTCTGGTGGTTTGCATATGGTTCCACTATCTCTTGCATGACGTACTTGCTGGTCAAGCCTTTTGGGGCCAAGTCGCATGAGCGCGTGGATCCCTGATACCCTCAGAGAGGTTCGTTTGTGGTCATCCCATAGCGATTCGAATTGCCCCTGGTTTTTACTGGTCACCCTGGGTGTTTGCATTGGGTGTTTCTGCTGGTGCGCCGGGCTCTTTGCTGGTGCACTGATCTTCTCTGCGCAGTGCAGAAGGTGTTTGGGCCAGAGCATTCGAATCCTGGTTGCCACTTGGTATCCAGTTGCCCCTTTGGACCTTAGAGGCAGGCTAGCTGAATATAGGAGAGACTGTTGATGCCCCCCAAAGCTGTTGTGGAAAACGATATTGAAACTGTCACTTTTCTACTTGCTGGGGTCCGGATCTCTATTTCTGCTAGACCTGCTGCGGCCGATTCTCAGGGATCAGTTTCAGGTTACGAGGTTGTGAGTTCCGCTGCCTCTGAAGCGAGTGCACCTGATCAGTCTCCTGTGGCCCCATCTGCTGCAGTAGACGCCCTTGCTTTGGAAGCGACCTCAGCCTTGGCTTTTGCAGCATTGCCAGTGCCTCAAGTGGATCTCCTGGAGCGCCAGTTGCGTGGTTCCCACTCCACTTGGACTTCACGAGCGAGACTGGGTAGAGCTTTTCGAGCGGGTGTAGCAGCTCGTGAGCGATTGTTGGGTAGGGAGTGCGCAATTGCCTCCCCTACCATTCCTTTCCAGAACTCCATCTACATCGTCCTTCGCTGCAATTCCTACCCTCAGGGTTTTTGGACTTCCAGCTATCGTACGTACATTGAGGTGGTGGGAGATCGTCGAGGTCTCCAGCCTGGTTCCATCAGTCACGCCTTTCCGTCCCGTGCAGAGGCGACGGCCTTTTTGGCTGGGGCAGCCCGGCCATGGCCCGAAGAAGTCCAATGAGTGGGCCTCTCACCCGAGAGGCCGCAGAAGGCTTGTTGAGCCAGCCTTCTGCTCAGAGAGCATTGCCAGAGATCCATCTCCCCCTGCCAGAGGAGGGAGACAATTTTGTTTGTGTTGCATGCCATTTAGTGTACCTGAGGGAGAATGGTTTCATGATCGTGATCCCGTGTGCCGACGCAGCCCACAATGCTGTAGCCGCCCTGAGCGATGCCTCAGGCGAAGATGCACCCATGTTCTTTGTAGGTTCTTGCGAGGTGGAAACTGTCAGAGGGCGAAACATAGGCCAAGCCGACGTAGAGCTGGTGGATCTGCCTTGGCTGCACATAGGTTTTTTCCAGCATCCAAGAACCGGACGGCAAGCTGTTCCTCGCGACCGGATTTTGACATGCAAGGTTGCAGACGAAACTGGACGTCCCCGCCGCCAGTCCGCTCACAGTTTGGCCTCCGAATGGTTGTTGACCATGGAAGAGACAACCGCCCAGGAGTACCTCACCGGAGAGGAGTTAGAAGCCGAGGCGGAGCCCGATCGCAGTCCGCCTGCATCCGCACAGGAGCTGGCTTCTGTGGCAGAGCTCAAAGCTCAAATCCAAGCGCTGAAAGCCCAGCTTGCCTCAGCTCAACCTGCAGCAGTTCCTCCTCCGCCGCCAAAGACGCCCAGTCTTTTCAATGTAGGAGTGACGCCCAAAGTGTCGGCAGCCGATTGGACCAAGCTGAAGCAGTTGGCAGGCTCGCCCCCACCCAGAGTAGGGGCAACCGAGACTCGCCGATCTCTGCCTGCCACCACCCAGGTGGCTCAGTTCGAGACCGATTATGTAGAGGAAGAGCGCGAAGTAGCCGAGCCAGGGTTTGCAGGTTTGGAGCTTCCTGCTCAGATCCAGTCGGCCGATCCGGCCCAGCAGTTGATGTTTCTCCAGATGCAGCAGAATGCCGTTTTGCTCCAGAAGCTGGTGACCAAACACTCAGACCCAGTGCTGGGGGCTTTGTCAGGCGGCAGCGCCTCGGACAGCGGAGGAGGAAGCAGCTCAGGAGTCAAAGGTTGCCTGGCTCGGGAGGTGTTTTTACGGGCAGTTCAAGACCTTACCAAAGTTGCCGACTCAACTCGGGCCAATCTGCTGAGAGAGCTAGGGATTCCAGCCAGCCGGGAGGATGGAAACTTGATGAGGAAGTATGTAGAGAGGAAAATTCCTCTCGCAGAACACCGACTCCTTTCCCAGGTTGCCTTCATGATTGCAGAGAGCTGGAACATAGGTTTCGAAAGCCAGAACATAGAACTGCTAGGGGTGCTCAGTCGGATGATGTATTTTGTGGAACAGGCTGCAATAGAGCAGGGCCGCACTCAGACTGCATGGCTTCTGTGCGGATGGCAGGAACCTCCGTACCAAATCCTAGTATCGCACAAGAGACGCAGCGGCCTGCAACAGTTCTGCCGGATTTGCAACCCCAGCTGGATTTCCGCCAATTTAGCCTATGTCAAAGATTTGGACTATATGGAAAGCCGGCTATCCGCAAATGCAAAGGGATCAAAAGCCAGCCAGCCTCTCGAGGACGAGCCGTCAGCTCAGCCCAAACGGCGGCCCCAGAAAGGCCGGGGAAAAGGGAAGCAAAAGAGTCAGCAGGGAGAGGATGCAAGCAACAGCACCGAAGCGTGATTGCCTGCCAGCCCTCCGAGCATGCGCAGCCGAGTGCCCTGGACTCGGATAAGAAGGGTTGTAACCCATACATAGATCCCCCTGAGTCTAGGCCCCCTAATCTCGTTAATGATGCTGCCATTCCTAATATAGACCGCTTCCCCGGAGAGAAGTTCCCCGTAATTAGTTCAGTTTTGCATGCATGCCAGGTGCTAAAATCTGCACCTACTGGTTTGGGTCATTTCATTAGGAAAAGCCTTAACCCGGACAAAGCCTGCACCGTTGATGGAGTGTCAAATCTCCTTTGGCCGGTTCCCCTCCCTAGGTGGCGTTGGACCGATGCAAGCCGCCTGAATCCACGACGTCGACGTCGTTTGCGCTTTTTAAGAGCTCGGCATGAGTGGCTGCAGTTAGTCATAGCTAGTTTGAACTGGGAGGTCCTGGGGTTCCCAATAGAACCCCCACCTCGCGCTCAACTAGGGGCGCCAATCTCTGAAGCGCAGCATCAGATTGTCGAACGTCTCGAGTCGATGCTTGGCCATTTTCTTTGCATGCCAGACTTTGAAGTGGATGACTTGGGCCGTGCTCAAGAAAATTTTCAGGCGTAATTCAGATGGTGAAGGAACTTCCTTGGTGTAAACTAGGGTTAGAGGACCTCCAAAAATTAGCTGTTCAGCTGAAGCATGATTTGGATTCCTATGGCAGTCATTTCAAGCAGAAGCCTAGTCCTGTTTTCCAAGAAGAGCACCCATGTCATGCATGTTCGCCACGTACAGTTAAGCATCCAGCTGGCATTAATGCCAAACCAGTTGTCTCAGAACGGGTGAAGTGGAACAGCCCTCCTTCTTTTGATGCAACTCCTTTTTTAGATGATTTGCTTGTTCGTGCAGCGTATGCTGACCCTGATGTGCTCCGGAAGGATATTGAGACGTGGCCGCCTGCTCACCCGGCTAGAGTCCATTGTTCCAAGAGCGAACTGCTGGAGCTGGCACGACGATGGGACCAGCTGGGAGCATGTTCACTCATGCCAGCCTGTGAGAAAGACTTTTCCGAAGCAGTAGGCCTGTTTTGTGTCCCAAAAGATAGGTCTTTTGATAGGCTCATCATTAACCCTGTGACCATCAACAGCAGAATGCATACCATTACTAGATCCACCAAGGAATTAGCCCCTGGTTGTTTACTCACTCTTTTACATCTTGGACCTGGTGACATGTTCCGGTTTTCAGCTGATGATCTCACTGATTACTACTACACGTTTTGTGTTAGCGCAGCTCGTGCTCGGAGGAATGCCATCCGTATGCGTTTCTCTTGGGAGGATGTCCAGGCATTCAAGTGTTTCAAACCTGAGTTCAGGGGTCAGGATCTGTTGGTGTGTTTGAGCACGCTCGCCATGGGCGACAGCCTTGCAGTTGAAATAGGTCAGCAGGCGCACAAGAACGTCCTTAGGCAATTTTGTGGGGCCCTTCTAGCTCATGAAACCCTTAGGTATCGATTCCCCATTCCCCGTTCAGACTTTGTAGAACTTCTTGCTATTGATGATCATGTTGGGATTCAAAAGTTGGCTATCAAAGATTTCTCAAAAAAACCCTGAGCTCAGGGACACTCAGATTTTCCGTGATGCCGCTTTTGCCTACAGACATGTAGGGTTGATCCAGCAGGAGAAAAAGCAAAAACGGAACCAGACCGAGGGAATCATCCTGGGAGCAGATTTCAATGGCGTTGAGGGCAGAGTCATGGCCCCGAGGCCCCGCATTTTGATTCTTTGCCTTATCACCTTGCACCTCGCAATTCGAGGGACTTGCACCCCCAAGCTTTTGTCCACTGTTTTAGGCTGTTGGGTGCATGTGCTGATGTTCAGAAGAGTGATGTTTGCGTTGGTGAATTCATTATTTAGAGAAGGCCAAGGTTTGCCGCCTGACCAGACCTTTTGTTTAGCACGGCAGTCCCGATGTGAATTGCAGCTGTTGGCAACATTAGGCCCTTTGGCTCAGACAAACCTGAGGGTGCAGCATTCTTCAAACATATATAGCTGTGATGCTAGTCCCACAGGTGGTGCAGTTGTAGTTGCCCCCATCAGCTCAGCCGCCACCCAAGAACTGTGGCGGCATTCTGAACAAAAGGGTTACTATACCCGGCTTCTCAGCCCTGCATCCGCTGTTTTAGCCGAACTAGGGTATGAACCTGAAAGCAGCTTGCAGTTTGGAGGTGAAGCCTCTCTACAGACTTGTGAAATGGTGCAACAAATCCCTCCTTCACTTACCGAGGGTTTCTTGTATGACTGTTGTGAAATTTTCAGAGGCAGTGGCAATTGGTCTCATGTCCATAGCTCCCGCGGCCTGACTTGCCATGATGGTTTTGATGTGGATGGGAAGCGCCTCCGCGTTTCTGACCTGGCTGACATGGCCACCTTCCGTGAACTCGTGGCCCTGGCATATCGCCGTGTGATCAGAGACTGGCATGCTGGTGTTCCTTGTTTGAGCTACGGAACCCTTAGGAGGCCTCAAGTGCGATCAAATGAATTCCCATTTGGTTTTGACCCGAGTGACCCCTTCACATTCTATCATAACATGTTGGCTCGGCGCACAGCTTTTGTTTTGACCATTGCCCTGACCCTAGGCTGCTTCGTGAGTGTAGAGCAGCCCAAGAATTCACGGCTTTTTCGACTTCACTGCTTTCAGGTCATGGTGAAGCTTGGGTGTATCATTTCTCATTTTTGTTTTTGCAGTTATGGAAGCGCCTTCCAAAAGGCATCGAAGTGGCTGCACAATAAACCTTGGCTCATAGATCTAGAATCCACCTGTGACTGCCCCTACAAGGGAAACCATTTTAAGATTGAGGGCACCTTTACCAAAGAATCCCTTGCTGAGTTTTGTAAGAGATGCCGTCCATCCTGCACTGCCGTCTTCGGGCATACCCCGACCGTAGGTCAAGCTGTCTCGGAATTTTCAGCTGCATACCCCCTTAGACTTGTGCATATGATGGCTAGTGGGCATGTCGCCGCAAAGCGAGGATCCCTTTCTCGAATCCCACTTTCCAAACAGTATGAAGCTCTCAGTGAAGTTGGTTTGGCTGACCTGGAGCCTACTTGGCTGCCTGCGACCGACTCAGCATATCCTGCCAGACCTTGGTTTGAAGATCCTGAGTGGGTGCGCGAGTTGTCAGACAGCCTGCCTTTCACTGAACTCTTCAAATTCCGATTCCGAAAGTCAGGACACATAAACGTGAATGAAACACGGACTTATAAATCCTGGTTAAAGTACATGGCCAAACATGAACCATGCAGTCGTTTTATGGGGTTATTTGATAGTAGGGTAACCATTGGGGCCGCAGCAAAAGGTAGGTCTAGTTCTCCTGCACTTGGCAGGGTCCTTCAGGGTTCAGTAGCCTATGTGTTGGGCAGTGAGTTGTATCCCGGCCTTTTGCACACAGCTTCAAAGGACAACCGAGCTGATGAACCGTCCCGAGACCGAGATGTGCGACCGCCCAGTTTTGCACCTCCGGCCTGGTTGTCCGATCTTTTGCGTGGTGACCCCAAACGTTTTGACATGGTAGTACAATCCAGCTCCATCAGCAAGAACCCAGCACGGTGGCTGCGATTCCTCCTGATGCTTTGTGGTGATATCGAGCCGAACCCAGGGCCTTTCCGGGGTCAGCTCGATTTAACTGTTGGCTTTGTTGCTGCGACTTCACAGCGCATGGCGCGCTGCCTGGAAGGATTTAAGATCTGGGTCCGAGACGTAGCAGAGGTAGATTGGCTTCCTTTGACTGAGGATCCCCAAGCTCTTGCAATAGCTCTGCGAGCGTATGGGTTGTACTGTTTTGAGCATGGCCATCCTCGCTACCTTTTTGTGTATGCCATCACTGCTACGCAGGACCTTTTTCCTTTGTCGAGATCTTTCATGTCGGTAGCCTGGCAGATTGACAAGAAATGGCAGATCCATGAACCTGGCACTTCGCGTGCCGTACTTCCTGCTCTAGTAGTCAGAGCAGCAGTATGCTTAGCAGTTTTGTGGGGCTGGCACTCCTGGGCAGGAACTGTGTTAATCGGATTTGCTGCAATGCTTCATCCATCGGAAATGTTGAGTTTGCTTCGCAAAGACCTTGTTTTCCCTTCTGATGTTTGCTTTGATACCGCGGCTCTATACATCAGGATCCGAGATCCGAAGACTGCACGGTTTGCTCGGCGTCAACATGGTAGGATTGACGATCCTGAAATCATTCTGGTGGCTGAGACCCTTTTTGGCAAGCTGTCGGCAGACTCTCGTTTATATTTGGGGTCTATGCACAGCTTCACGCGCCAATGGAACGCCATCATGTCACGTCTGGGAGTGCCTTTTAAACAGAATGATCATGGAGCTACACCTGGCGTTTTGCGGGGATCAGGAGCGACCTTCCTTTATTCCTCGTCTGAAGACATCGCTTGGGTTGCTTGGCGTGGCCGATGGTCCAAGATGCGAACGTTAGAGTACTACCTCCAGGAGGTGGCAGCCTACATTTTGGTCCACAATTTGAGTGCCATTGCTAAGGCTAGAATCGAAGTGCTTTCGAAGTTCTCCTGGAGCGTGCTTTGGGAGGAGTTGCTCCTTGCGGAAAGTAAAGCAGAAGTGGAGAAGAAGTTTCGAAGATCCAAGCTTGGAGGATGAAAGATTTTCCTTTTGAGTTTGGAATTTACAGTTTTGAGTTGTGCTGACTGCACTTTTTCCAGCGACAGTCAGTCAAAGCACACTCCAGGGATCCTTTGAGCAAGGCAGGCAGAAAAGAGATGGTTCCACTATCTCTTGCATGACGTACTTGCTGGTCAAGCCTTTTGGGGCCCACCGCTCCACGCCCATTTTGTTGGGAGAAGAAGTTTCGAAGATCCAAGCTTGGAGGATGAAAGATTTTCCTTTTGAAGTTTGGAATTTACAGTTTTGAGTTGTGCTGACTGCACTTTTTCCAGCGACAGTCAGTCAAAGCACACTCCAGGGATCCTTTGAGCAAGGCAGGCAGAAAAGAGATGTATATATGTATATGTATATATATATGTATGTATATGTTTACATATCTATATATACATATGTACATATATACATTGTATACATACATACATACATACATACATACATACATACATACATATCATATATATATATATATACACATATATACATATATATATATACACATACAAGTATATATATATGTTTGTACAATTAAAAAAGATAGTTATTATATGTCATATATGCATATATGGTCATCCTGGAGTATATGGATTTTCAAAACATGATCACTAAAAATGGGAATCTTTCTCAAACATCTGTATTCTATCTATGTACTCAGTATTATATATATATATATGTATATGTATATAGCGGACAGCGGATTCATATACTCATATATGCTGTATAGGGGATTCATGCATTTTACCTTATCATTGAACCATATAAGTTAATATACATATATATGTTACATAGTATGTATATATATATATATCTCTCTCTCTCTCCAGTTCCGACCTGCCATGGACCCCATGGGCTCCAGGAGTTGGCCTACTACAACAAGCTGACGGAGTGTTCGGAAAAGCAATTGACCCTCGAAGAGACCGCCTGCGAGCTCCATGCCAGGCGCAAATGGGGGATTTCCATAGGGATTTCACATGATTTCACTGGGACTTTACGATAGAAAAATGGGGATTTCACCATAGAAAATGGTGATTTCATGAGGTTTAACCGTTTAACCATGAAAATAGGAGGCCATTGGGATAAAATGGGGATATAATGGGATATGCAAAGTATTGTGCAGGCCAGGTGTGATTTTGTGGGTATAAGTGTCGGATTCTAATCCCTATAAGTTGGGATAGAACCCCTGTAACTATGCTTTAAGATATCCACTCAAAAACTGGAACTGCACCCCGAAGTAGGCTAGTGATTCCTCAAAGGCAAAAATGGTGATGTTTGGGACAGCCTGAGTAAGTCAACCGAGTTTCAGTGACAAATGGCTTGGCCAAAGCAGCACAAAATGACCGGTTTCGTTTTCGGGCGAAATGCGTGTTGTTTGCTCCTTAAAACAATTTCTTGAGCTCGGAAAAGTCCAAGCATGTGACATAATTAATCTTCTCACCAAAAAGCTTGAAAAGTGAAGCACCATCAAACTGTCGTAGGATCCCCCCCAAAATGCTTCCTTCCATTGTTTCTGCTGCCCTCTTTTCTCCCGCATCATTTTGCATCCAGGACCAAGGAAGCCTGTGCCATGCTTCCCTCTTGCTTCGACAAGAATTGGGACGGCTACTCCAAACAGGTGACGTTCGGAAACTGGGAAACCGCTTCGCTGGTTTCCGATCTGGGGCCATCTGGGGTGTAAAGATCACTCGACCAAACCTTGAGTGGTGATTTTTGACCGAAGTCTCCAATGATTTCAATGAGAACACAGTGGTTGAAACCGTGTCTGGGATCAGACGACTGATAAAAGCCATGGTATCTGGTGAGTTGCAAAAACCCATGGGATTTTCCATTTCCCAAAGCGGGATGATCTGACAGCATCTGAACCATGGTTGCAGGTCTTCAAACAAGAATGAACCTTTGACGTATATCAATATCGATATTTATATCTCTATATCTCTAATGATCTATGATCTATGATCTATAGGGTAACATCTATACCATATATACCATCTATATAGCTATATCATATATACCATATATGGTCTATGATAAAGCTTATAGATATATCAACATGTATACCTATACCATCTATGATTGTATCATTACCGGCCCCAGATCTATCCCTGGGTATTTTTTCCTGGCAGGTGTCGCTGGCCAATGCCACCATCAAAGATGCTCGAAACGTGAGAAATTCGGAAAATTGCAGGGTACTTGGGGATTTTTAGAACATCAAACATGGTGGATATATGGTGATTTGATAGGATTTCATGGGGATATCAGGGGAATATATGAGTTGGGCTGATTTTTCTGGGCAAAACAATGGGATTCTATTCTTGAGCCGCATCCCCAAGTGCTTCCAGGAATCAAACCTGGCCCTGAAAATCCCCCAAATGGAGGTCTTAAGAGGAACGTACCATCTGGTTATGACTAACATAGCCAAAACCACCATTTTTGATAGGTAAGCCCAGGTAAACCATCTATTTCGATTAGGGCCATTATCCATGGCGAACTGTTAGTCATAACCAGAGGGTCTCAATTTAAAAATGGGGAATGTTTCAAAAATTGCCATGTTTGATGACCGGAGGGTATATCTTCCTGACATTTTTCGCAATGACTATCCTTCAGCCAGCCAGGGATTTTCCCATACCAGGGGGGTCCTTTGAGCTCCAACTGGCTCCCATTGTTTGGGAATGGGTCAGTTTTTTTAAGCCCTATGGTCCCACATATTTATTAGTATATGGGGGTTTCTTAGAATGGGGGAAAATTCCAGGTTACCATAGCTTTTTCAATATACCTAATAGTCATGGTCTCATGACTTGGATGGGCTCCTTTTTTGTTTAGTATCAAGCATCGATTGGGGTCCCCACTTGACCCATGGCCTCAGGATCTGCGTTTCGAGTACGTGGCTGTGAAGCGCATCACGTGCATGTTGGACGCCTTCACCGCGCCGGATTTGGAGGCACCAACGATCATCGTAAGAGAAGTGACCAACGATCAACAAGAGAAAATGTAGATAAACATAGGTAATACGGGTAATAGTAATAAACATAAGAATAAGAAGAAAGATCGGATGAAACTTGATGAAACCTCAGAAGATGAGGGTGATGGCACGACAAAAATCATAGTGATAGTCATAGTAATAGGACGGAATAGTAAATCATAATAGCAATCATTTCGTTTTCCTGGAGACCTCACAAATATTCAAATTGGGCCATTTTTGATGGGGAAGCGAGAGGTTTTGGGGTATGCCACTTTTGAGACACTTTTGAGATGTGCATTTGAGGCGTCGCAAGTGGTTAGATTCGATTAGATGTTACCCTCTGGTAAACGTTTATTTACATAGCTATGGAAAATCACCATTTTTAATGGGAAAACTCACTATAAATGAACATTTTCAATAGCTATGTTAGTTTACCAGAGGGTAATAGCCTGTAGTCTAGGTCTATACCATGGTTGTTAGCCCCTACTCGTAACTGTCCTAGAGTCAGTAGCCTAGGATACCCTAGGCTATAGCTGGTTCATGGCGATTGATTCCCCCAGTTGGCAATATTGGTTTTGACCCATTCCCAATACCATTGTTTCTGGGAAAGGTTCCGAAAAAATGAATCCACTGATAGCGCCGGCTTTCGAAGGCCAAGATCGAAGAGTGTATGGCCAAGCAATACAGCGGTGCTGCCATTAGCAGTGCCTGCGTTTCTTGGTAGGACTTAGTTGGCTTGGTTTAACAGAAATCGGCAAAGAACTTTCAGACTTTGATGGTTACCCTCTGGAAGTCACCAATTTTTGGTGGTTTCACTAATCTTCCAAGCCTTGGGGCCTTGGTCAAACTGTTAATTTACTGAAGGTTTCATCAGAATAACTGCCACCCTTATTTTTCATGGGCATAGGTTCCGGGTCCCATTTCGTAGAGCCGTTGTAGAGCCAGGGTTTGGCGGTTCAACAGCTGTCAGCCATGAGAGAATCTTCCAGGAATGGTACCAAATTGACATTATCTTACATATTGGTTTAGTGTTGGATCTACTAATGTTGGGGTCCCTTATTTTTTATAATTTGGGGATTTCACATTCCATGTATTACCAGAGGGTTTTTCAGTGATTATAATGTCTATCCCCATTTCAGGATAATTAAGCAATGTTAAAGCCCATTTTTGATGGCCAACCCCCAGTTTTGATGGTTAGCCCCCATGTGTATTCAATCATCAACCACTAGTAATGGATATATGCCATTATTCACCATTTAGATGGGGGATAGGAATATCACTATTATTCCCAGGATAACCATTATTAATTAACCATTATGAGAATATATATATATATAATTATTAGTCACCATTATGAATCACCATATTTGGATTAATTTGATTCACCATACGCCATGATGGAATTAGAATCGGAATATATGCCATTCTTCACCATACTATCACCAGGCTTGTTATTCATTTGCAGTGAAGCCATCACGAACCATCATTACACAACCGTTAGATCGGTCATTGGTTTCCCATGATCAACCATTCTTCACCACGTTTGGAATGATCCGGTGGGTGGAAGATATCCTGCACCACCGAAAGGATGTTTGAAACCCCACAAATAATGGGATGTTTACCACCTATCAACTGGTGATTCGGATTTCTTGCATCCACAGTAGCATCACCATATCTTGAATGATAAACTAAAGCTTGGAAATCAGGTGGAATATTCCCCAGTTATAATTCCCTATTGGAATAATCCCTATTCGGTATCCTTAGGTGTGAATATGATAGAATGATAGCGTCATCCAGGAAGCTTAGCCCTGCCACACCAATCCCCTTAGGTGGAGGGCTTCCTGGATGCCACCAAGCCAAGCTTCATCACGCCCGACGTGTGCGCATCAGGCGCTACGCACGTGGCTGGTTAACCCCGTGAGTTTTGGTTGACAGCTCGAGAGGAGAATGAGTGGTTCTTTTCTTCAAATACTATAGTAGTAAATTTGAACAACACATGTGTTTTTTTTCTGACTTTGGCTGATTTCTCAATCACACTTTGGTTTAGGTCCATCAAAACCACGTTTTGTTTTGCCACCCATTCACATTTGACTTGAATCACCTGCCAAGAACTGACCTTTGGTCCATTTTTTGCAGGTGTGAAGTCTATCCTGCACCCCAACGACGACAACTTCAACGAGACTGAATATGTTTCTCGACTGCTGAGGGCTGAGGGCACAGGTTTTTGCCGAATCTTTGTTTTACCCATTCTTTGCTCCTGGTTTCGGACATCTTTGCTCCATGTTGGGTCAATTTCCCCTCTAAAGAGAGGGAAACCAATCCACAAATCCGATGCTTTGGATTCTCAATGGATGAACATACTGTGGATGGCGAAATCCGGTTATCACCAGTTGAAAACGGTGGCGACAACATCCCATGATTTTGTTGGGGTTTCAACCATCCAATCGGTGGTGCCATTTATCCGTAACTTGACCATGGCTAATAGATCTGAGCACCCGAGGCTTCCCAAGGCATTGCTGCCAGTCCCTGCATGGCATCTTGCTGTGAGTTGGAGTTGTACCATTGGCAGACCTACACCAATGCGTTTCTGGGCTCCGCGAAGCCCTGAAAGGGATCATCCAATGGTTCAACGTGATTTTCATTTTTCTTGTGAATTGCAGCTGTTCACAAATTCTTGCGACAAATTCAAGCGAAGTTGAGACATTCCCTATGGTGAAGTCAATCGGACTAGATGATTAGGATGGGTTTAGAAACCAAGAGTCGGTCATGAACAGTCAGCTGCATGACTAAACATTTTTGTTGGAGTGAATCAAATCGACAGGTGATTGTTTGAAGAACATTTTTGTGAGTATTTATTTTCGCTTGATTTAAACCAACAGTCGGGTGATTGAGAACAGTTTTACTTATCATTTTGCTGTGTCAAACCAGCAGTTGCGTTGGAGATTTGAAAACAGTGCCTCCGTCAACATTATCATTCGGGTCCCATTTTCAATGAACCGTTTTGTTCCCGGTCGGATGAATTTGACCAAAGTTTGGTAACTTTCTAGAGCCAAGTAAACAGTATTCGTAGTAGAGGCCGCCCCTGATACCAGTATTTGAATCCAGTGGTTTCAACTGATTCAACTTCCCGACGAAAAATCTGCTAGTCCAAAGACCAGCGGAAAACATTGGGGTTTGTCTGAAAATGTTTTTTTTCTCCGTTGAATTTGAGGCTCATATTTCCCCTCCAAGTATGGAAAATGACTCAAATGACCATCGCTTGGTGGGTCAACACCGAACGACGTTCCGAATCGTTCCGAACCACGAGGTTCGTGACGTCGGACCACTACATGTACGACAGCGACAGTGGACGCGTGGTGAGCTACACCAACATGGCCGAGGCCAAGCAGGCTTGCGAGACCATGGGCAGTGTGTGCCTTGGCGAAGTCAGGTGATGACTTGGGGTTCCAGTGACACTGGCATGTTATTTTTGATGTGGGTAAAACAATGCCATAAACTATCCCCCAGGAAAATCACCATTTTTATAGGGTATGGTTACCATTCCCAAATGGGTAGTTTATGGCATTGTTTTACCCACATTACTTCAGGATGTTTTGTGTTGTTGGACGATCCCAGCTTCACCACAGGCTTTGCTTCGGAATCTATGATGCCAACTGCGATGGCCCCAGCTATGAGAATCCCGTGAAGATTGTGAAGGCCGCGGGCGGTGCCGCGCTGGGTGGTGGATTTTCTCCACTTTGTTTTTAGGATAGCAAAAAAAGTAGTAATAGTGATAATTAAGAATGATAAGAATAAGTCATAATAATAGCCGGCGGCTCCTCCACCACCACCACCACCACGACTACGACTACGACTACGACTACGACTACGACTACGACTACTACTACTGCTACTACTACTACTCCTGCTACTACTACTACTACCTCCTACTACTACCTCCTACTACTACCTCCTACTACTACCTCCTACTACTACCTCCTACTACTACCTCCTACTACTACCTCCTACTACTACCTCCTACTACTACTACTACTACTAATGATAATGACAATGAGGAGGATAATGATAATGATAATGATAATGACAATATCAACGAGAACTTATGTTGATAATAATAATAATGATAATCATGGTAGCAATAATGATAATCATATTGATGATAATGACAGCAACAATTCCCACATTTTTATGGTCATTAGTTATGGGTTATTAGCAACCCCCAAGGAGATAGAACAGTCAAAATAAACTCAGACAGTGGTAGATTACTTTCGATTTTGTTGGGGGTTACTATACATAATTAGTACATCTCCCGTTTCGGAGACAGGTCACCCTTCACCCTTGGGCCAAGTCATGTGACTTCATTCCTTTTCGAATGATGTGTGGAGGAAGTCTTGTCATCGCCATAATATTACAGTAATCCCCATTGCTGATGGTTGGATCCCCCCAAAACTGGCGAAGCCATACTATACTTATAGGGTGAATCCATAATGCTCCCTATCTCACCATGTCCTCCAAGAGGGACAAAAAAACTACACGGCTGGTTTGTTGTGGTCTGGATTTTTGTTTTGGATTCCATGGGAAGCATGGCCCTCTTTAGTGAGAAACATGGGAGCAACATGGACCACAGCCAGGCTCCTGGGATTGACTTGGAGTCTGTGAAGGAATCCTCTGTAGGCAGCTGCGTCCAGAAGTTGATGAACGGCTGCTGTCCAGCACTGATGGGTTGACACGACTGGGACATCCCCGTGAAAAATATGGAGGTTGTAAGGGAAAATCATGAGAACATATGAGTCATATGAGTCATATGAGAAACTAAGGGGAAATCTCCGAAGGAGAGGGGTATAGATGGTGAGATGTGAAATCATCAAACTAAATGGAGGAGTTTCCAGCAAGCCATGTTTGGTTAATAGAGGGTCTTTTCATGTCTTTTCTATTTTCTCCAAAACCAACTCACCGTGATCCACTTGAAGGTTGAACCACCTAAGTTGAGATCAATCATGATGAATGTGAGTACTTGGCAGGTCGAAATCAGCGTTTTTTTTCAGTTGCCGACTTGAAATGGCAAGGCGACCTCAAAATCATCAAGCCCCCGAAATGGATGGGGTCAATAATGGTTCGCCCTAGGGGCTTGACCCAATACCCATGAAAAATCATGGAACATGGGCTATTTGGGGCCTGAAACTGAGGTAAACCCTTCAACTTCAAGTAGGGAAAATGAGAATCAGCCATCAATTTTTTGGGGTATACAGTATACAGTATACATGTTTCATGGTTTATATCATGGTTTATATCATCATTTTCCATACTTAAAGTCGCCCTACTGAAAGTTGCAAAAATTTACCATCAACTCCTGGGGTCTACTTTAGCCCTCCACGTCGCCAGCCAAGGACCCGGCACAACCATGACCACCACCACGGTGAAGGCTTGTATCTATGAGGTCCAGTACACCAGCAGCGCAGCAAATGGGGCTGCAAGCTGAGCCCGGATGGTGGGGGATGGTGGTGGATGGTGGGGATGGTGGGGGAAACATCCAGGACTTGGGATTGAATCGTTTGAAAAAAAACCATGAATTGGATGGACCAGGTTGATTTACGGATTTTCAGAGAAATTGCTGGAATTTTGATTTCGCAGAAGTTTAGGTTCGAAGTCCTGGGTGTGAAAAGTTATCTGTGCTCTGGAAGTTCGAGGAAGTATAGAAGGTTTGCAAAGTTTTGGCTAAAACCCACGGCACGTCGGATATAGGTCTTTCCATACTCTTCCGCATGCTGCTGGGAACCATGAATTGGACACCAATTTTTCCAAGGGACCCGCACCAACTTGGGCTTTAGACATAAAATCACATCTCTGTTGGTGAACAAGAATTATGCGAAATCCCCTTGGGGGTGAGGTTCCCTTTACAAAAAGGTGAACAACGGATCGTTTCATGCGGAAAACATCTCCCTTTTCGAACGGTGAGAGATCCGCGTTTCTTCGCCTTAGGCACCTGATGATGTGAAGACCTTGACCGTGGAACATCAGGAGTATGGTGAGGCGTTCCGCTTCAGCGGTTGCGTGCCTTGCCTTGGCTAAAGCGGGGAAGCCCTGGTTTTTCTACACATTTCAGTCAGTACTACCCTCTGGTAAACAAACATAGCTATGGAACATGGCCCATAGAAATAGATGGTTTACCTATTAATAGCATGGTGATTTTCTATAGCTTTTTGTAAGTTTACCAGAGGGTAAATTTTCAGAAACAGGATCGAGCTGGATTGGAAGTCCACGGGTTTGATCTGCCGGTCTTATGGCTTAACACCAACCAACCAGTGAATTCTCACCGTCCAAAGGCGAATCTAAGCACATCAAAGAACAATCAAACAAAATCTAACATCATCTACCCTCTGGTAAACTAACATAGCTATAGAAAATTGTTCATTTTTAGTTGATTTGCCAAACTTAAATATGGTGATTTTCCATCGTTTTTTTTTTTAAAATATTTACCAGAGGGTAGATGTCAAGCTTTTTCATCCATGGACTCATTGAATCCCAAAAAAGTCGAACACAGCTTCCTTTTTCATTCGATTCTTTAGATCCATTTTTTCTTGCTAAATAATTATCATTCACCAATGATTCACATATATATATATATAATGATAGGATTCACTAGGAAATATCATCCTTTTTTCCTTTCTGGTTACTGCCATGTAATGCGTGGAACATGCATACAACATCTATTGCTTATTCATTGCCTCAATGATTAGTCACTGATTATTTGCTTTAATTATAGATACACAAGAGGATTAACAAAAGAATCATGATGATCAGTGATTCACTAATTAGTTGGATTATTACTGATTACTGATTCACTAATTACTAATTACTGATTCACTAATCATAAGATTCTTTGGATTCTCTTAGGATTCACCAGTGATTCATCTTTCAGAATCTTCGGCCAAGGACAACGAGGAGCTGGACGAGGGCAAGGCATGCGTTTCCTCGGGCGCCCAAAATGGCGTTCGACTGCTGAAGAACAGGCGGCCTGGCGGGCTGGTGAGTCGGATGAAGATCCAGATCTTCAGATGGACCCATCAATGGAGGTTTCCGTTTTGTCATAGCGGTACCCCATACCATCATCCATTATAGATTGGGATTTTCCATGAAATAAACCATCCAGCGATTGGGTACTGCCATGACTATGGAACCCCCCAATATTTTCACAGCTTGGACCCAACGAAGGTCCTTGGAGTTTACCCTTCCAGGACTTGGTTTGCAATAGGGCGAAGACCTGAAACAAGCTGAAACAAGCTGAAACAACAATCCACAGACATGTTTTTTTAAATATCATCATCCTTACTCTCAGTCAATCATGGCTTGCTGGACAGTTCCCCATTTAATTGGATGATTTTCCGATTTTCCCATTCAATCCTCCATGTTTTTTGTGGGATTTTCTTTCGAAAAATCCCCAACAAAGATCCAAAGATTCCAAAAAATCTCCAAAGATCCTGAGATTTTCATGGATTTTTCCAGATATCCTGAGATTTTCATGTTTTTTTTCCGATCCCCCGATCTTTTTTTTCACAACCATGGACTCCCTGGCCAGGTACGGCCAGGCCGTGGCCACCGGAAGTTGCTGTACATCGGAGACCAACAAGGTGGGATAGCCTCCAAACTAAGATGTGGAGTTTACCCTCTGGTAAACTAACAGGTCTAACAGTTTGCGAACTGGAAAATCACTATTTTTAATGGGTAAATCCACTATTTCTATGGTGATTTTCAATAGCAAACTTTGTTGACATAACCAGAGGGTACACTTTACCCATGCCACATCTGGCCAGGTGATTCTCTCCGAGGCGACGGAGTGCGACGGCTACAAGGATGAGTACAAGAAGTATGATAGCATGTACCTCACTGCCACTCGACTCACTATGACTATAAATCAACCATTTATAGTTGACTATAATCATTACATATCACTAACCACTACTATTATTGAATCACTATGAATCACTATGACTCACTATGACTCACTTGACTGATTCGGATTGGTTGATGATCTGAAAAAACCGGGACATTTGATGGTTGATTGTCTGTTGAAACCGGTTGAAACCTTGGGTTTTGGTTTGCCAAGAATTTTGGGGGGTGATGAAGCTTTACGTTTCCCCTGGTCCGGGGATGGAGTTCCAGACCCAAGATGAAACCGATGTCAGTGGCTGTCAAATAGGCTTTAGTTTTCTGTTTTCAGGACCCCACCTTCCATTCCATCCATTCCTGATGAGCTTGACCAGTTCGAAGAGGCAAGTGATAGGAACAAAAACACTTCCGGTCATGAAACCTGGCAAAATGGGGGGGAAATCCATGGAAATCTCCCAACGGAATAGGCATTGAATTCATTTCATCATGGGGAAAATCATGAAACTGAGGCCTCGAAGCTGATCCGTGGCACATCTTATCACAGCATCAGAGAAGCACAGGTGCCGGGCCGGCACGCCGGGCCTGTGGAATCCATAAGAAGAAAGGCTTCAAAGAACTTTGAACAGTTGGTATTATGTTGGTATTATGTATTTCAAGTATTTCCAATATATACATCAATATACATCATATTTGATGGCGACTTAGTTTTTGAACATGATGAAAAACCGAATACCGCCCGCTGCTTTGGGCGTTTCGGGATGATTTCTCGCTGGGGCCCGGCAGATCGCGTGCTTGAAGATGGGACACAAGTGCTGGGGTCTCTTCGATGACAAGTGCGACATGGGCAACCTAATGATCGTGGACGGCGACCTGAACATCACCACTAGTGACTCGGGTGGCAAGTGGATGCAAGGGGCCCTGAGATTTCAGGTTTTGGAAAGTCCTACTTGGGGGTGCATCCAACTTGGTAAATGGGTCAACAAAACCCCACTTACATACTATATATGATATATGATTGTATATGATTGTATATGAATATACATATATATATATATGGAATATCACCACGTCTATATGGGATTCTCTGGGCTTTGGAAGGTCCTAAAGCCACCTTGACCCAGGTGTGATGCGTGAATCTCACCAGAGCTCTTGTGTCTATGAGAAGCTCCACGTCTGAGTTGAGCCGTGCGAAGCGTCAATCTGACGGTAGAGGCTGGTGGTTCTGAAAGCGCCTCCCAACAGGCTGTG